GTGTGTGTGTGTGTGTGTGTGTGTGTGTGTGTGTGTGTGTGTGTGTGTGAGTGTGTGGGGGTGTCTGTGTGCGTGCGTGTATGCGCGCGTGTCTGCGTGCGTGTGCGTGCGTGTATGCGCGCGTGTCTGCGTGCGTGTGCGTGCGTGTGTGCGTGTGTGCGTGCGTGCGTGCGTGCGCGTGTATAGAATATTAACGTTGCCGTGGCGATGTGTTTCTCCATCAATCATCTCATCATTGATTCTCTCGTCTGTCGGTCGCCATGGCCACGCTTTGCTTCCCCACCGCACGCTCATTTGCACTCTGACCTTTGGCAAACGTTTTTCGACGAAATTTGTCATTTGTTGCGTTTTTCGCGTTGTTCGTCGGTTTTTCGTCGAACTTTGTTGTGTTGCGTTTTTTTTCGGGTGGGTAAGCGTGCCTAGTGATTGTTGATTTGTTGACGTGAAGTCGCGTGGTCTTTGAACTAAGACGGGTAATCATTACTGTAGCGCTGTTAGATTGCCTGTCTGAAACCCTGATCGGTTTTTAAATGCGGAGAAATTTCCTCGGTTTGATTGTTTAGAGTGTTTACCTATGTTAGCCGTTGTAGTAAGGTGGGTAAGCACATGGATTGTGGACTTTTGGTTAGAATTGTGAAAACCATGCGTCTAACCGAAGGTGCACATACAATGTGCCCATTTTTATGTGCTTTACCGCTGAAATGAACTATTTCCCGATGAAACGATCAGTTTGCAGAGCAGCGTAATACGCGAAATGAGAACACACGGACGATGTACTGAGGTCAGCTACTTCTCTGTTGTCTGTTCGCGGTGGTCGCACCAACAGGTTTTAGGGTTTGAGTCCCGGAGCGACGGACCACAAGAGGGCGCCTCCGTCGTGTTCGAACACGCGCGGGCGAGCGCGTCGGCTGCCATGGCAACGGTACTTACTCCGTCACGCATGCTTCTGCACCAGAATGTATGCTTATGTCGCCAGCATCTATTCAACCCGACCGTGCTGCCATCTCTTGGCCGCAAGAGCAACCACTAAATGTTCCTGTACTAACAGCGTGTGTTGTATTTCTGGCAGTCGCTGTGTCTCAGAATCGTAATTTTCCGTGGCAGCATGACGACCTATGTCAAGACAGACGAGCTGAGCTGAATAATATGCTTTGATTGTGTTGCGGAAGTCTACGCGTAGTAATAACCTTACAGGTGTTTCTCTCTGCATCAGCATCTATATGTGTGTGGATGAGGCATCACATGTGGATACCTGGGAGCAAAGCGAAGCCCTGTTGTGCAATCAACCAATTAATCAATTAACAGCACGAGGCATCAGAGGTTGTTAGCAGAAGATTCAGCATCCTCCTTAACAACCTCGTTAACACGATAGTTAATGATCCTGGTTAACAACCTCGTTAACACGATAGTTAATGAT